TCATTGTTACTCTGATACAAGTTGAAATGGATACCGTTGTGAATCGGGCAATTAAAGGCACTGCCATCTTTGCATGAAGGGTCACTTAAAATTACGCTGACAGTCCCTTTAAACTCGTATCTTAAACTAAATGTTTATTTGTTTTGTTAATTCACAAACCAGGATTTAGATGGAGTGTGTTATTATTATTTAATGGATATCGTGAATGGTCCCATTAATATGTTGAGTGGGTCCAATGATAATGGTTGTCTGTGTGGTGTGTAATCATCTAGTTTTATAATTAATTGTTCAAACCAATTATACTCAGCATTCCATAAATAGTTTATCAATAATGTATTTTAAACTTAATTAATTTACTCCTGATTAATTCAATCAATTTGCCCGATGGATGAAATAGACTCTACGGAAAGAAAAAAAAGATAGATTTTGATTTTTAAATTTACTTTAATTTATCTACTTTTCTGATTAGGGGGGATTGAAATAAAAGCAAAAAGCAAAATATGTTCCAACACAATTGGCGAAAAATTTAAAAGAAATTTAAGCTAATTCATATTTTTTTATTGTAACATTATAATAATATTGAATATTTGAACTTAAAACCTATGAGACTCTATTAAGCTATTTTAGAAATGAAATAATTGACTGTACTGTACCGTACTGCACAGTAATGTAATGTAATGTACTGTAATGTAATATGCTGTAATGTACCGTACTGCACAGTAATGTAATGTATTCAACTGTACAGTCATGCAATGAACTGTAATATACTGTAATGTATATTTTAAACGATATTTTCTGTTTCAGATGTGTTTGAAGAGAAGAATTTTATCTTGAACACTGAACGTAATCCAGATACAACCATGTCATAATCCTCAAACCTCCAGATAAGAACATCTTAAGCTCCGGGTTCTCAGAGAGCTTAGAGTTCTGAGAGGAAACCATAACTCCGGGCTCCCAGAGGAAACCATAGCTCCAGGGTCTCAGAAACCATAGCTCCGTGTTTCCAGAGAAGACCTTGGCTCCAGGTTCTTAGAAGAGTCCTTAGCTTTAGGTTTCTACAGGAAACCTTTGCTCCAGGTTCTTAGAGGAGTCCTAAGCTTCAGAGGTTTTAGAGGAGACTTTAGCTAAGTAAAATCTCTAAACTTTCATTTGATTATTCATCATACAAAAATAAATTATTTCTTAACAAGTCACCCGAAAGTGAAGTGAAACAACTAAGTGAGAAAATGAAAAAGTGAAGACTTATTTCGACCTTGATAGATTACTCCGATCTGAAGGATTACTCCGACCTTGAAAAAATGTCGAGCGAAGAATCTCATTTGTCCTGCCAAGGAGCGGAGTGCAGTGATGAAAGGTACACTTAGATTAAACAGATCGAACTGAAAATGTCTTGACGTTAGTCTTGTATTTTTGTAAATAATAACTTATGGGGTAAAATTTTAGCTGAAATATTTGAGTCTTGCATAATCATAATAAAAAGTTTTTTCTCCCAAAAATTTACTTCTTTATCATCATCTTTGAAAGTATGATGCTTTTAGACTATACTTACACTTTTAACTAGTTCAGGAGTTAAAAGACACATTTCCTTCTATCGGTGAAATCTGTGTAATTCATTGACATAAAATAAACTCTCACAGCGTACACAATTCACACAATATACTATACTGCACACACACTTCACACAATATACTATAATTCACACACAATTTACACAAAATCTTTAATACCCACACTTCACACAATAATACACACATCCTACAACCCACGAGTGGAGTGATAATTCAAAAACTCACAAAATCCAAACTGGCCTGAAGAACCTAAAATCATCTATTTAACTGCTTAAACTATAATTTTTCATGAAACAAAGTTGATAAATGGGGTTGTCAAACTTGTAAGATTTTACTCCATAAAATATCCATAACTTTAAATTGAATTCTTCGCCTCTTTTAAACGATTTACAAAACCTAACGCCAAACAATTTGTTTATAATATCGAGATAGATTTAAAATGTGTCTCCCTGTAAGCCTGTAAACCTGGATATTAAGCTGCTGGGTTTCAAGGAACTGAAAACTTTAATTCCTTGAAAAATATTGTTAGGTCTGTAATATAGATCTTAATCTAAGAGGATATAACGTGCCCCATTGACAGTTATCATGGATACAGTACACAGTACACAACAATTGGATACAGTACAAAGTACACAACAATAAGATGCAGTACACAGTACACAACAATTGGATACAGTACATAGTACACAACAATTACATATAGCACACAACATTTAGATGCATTATACAGTACACATCAATTAGATGCAGTACAAAGTACACAACAATTAATGCAGTACACAGTACACAACAATTAGGCGCAGTACAGAGCACACAACAATAAATGCAGTGCACACCAATTAGGTGCAGTGCACAGTACACAACAATAAATCCAGTTATTTACAGTACACCACAAGTAGATGCAATACACAAGTAGGTGAGGTATACCATACACAACAATTAGGTGCCATACAAAGAACACAACAATAAATGTAGTACGCCACGAGAAGATGCAGTAAAAAATAATTAGCTGCGGTACGCAGTATTCAAACAATTATAGGCAGTTCACAAAAGTAGTACATATTACACTAACAATACTCACAGTACTCTACAATTAACTACAGAATAGAGTTCACACTTATGTACAGTACACAGTAAATAAAAGCTAGGTTCAGTTCACAGTACACAATTATATGCAGTGCAAAGTACACAAATAATGAATTGCAGTACACAGTACACACAATAAATGCAATGGGGCACAAGTGGATTCAGTGCACAATTATTAGTTGCAATACGCAAACAATATGACGTGTTCACAATACCCAAACAATTAAATGCAGTTCCGAGTCACAAGAACACAGTACACAAAAAATAGAGAATGCAGCGCACAGTACTCCACAATTAGATGGGGTAAATACACAACAATTAGATGGAGTAAATAGTCCACAATTAGATGCGGAAAGCAGTACACAACAATTAGATGCGGTAAATAGTATAGAATTAGATGTTAACAATACATTTCAATTAATGTCACTCAATCAGTAAACAGAAACAGGTTGCAGTGCAAAGTACTGAACAAATAAAAACATTAAAAAAATTCGTAGATCTAACATTTTAAATAAAATAATTGTTGTACAGGTGTTGCAACTACACGAGCATGTACAAGGTTGTGAAGACCGTGACCAGTACAAAGTTTCGGAGAGATCCATTCGAGGATTTTTACGAAATTTTTGAAGAAATTGGCAGGTAGGAAAATTTATCTAATCAACGATCAGAAGATAAATCAATAATATTTAAAAACTGACGTGATTTTTTTAATATTGTAAAACTGTTGTACATAGTTTACCCAGTCCTGTACAGGGCTGATTAGATCTTTATTTGATTTCTTTAAAACTTGTTTAGCTCAGTTTATAAACTGCAGTACAGCCAAGTTACAGCCGCGGACGTAAACGCTTATTTAAGAGGTTTAGCAGGTTAAAGACTTTAGATCCATAGCTAATATTAACTCCGCTCCGCCATAGATCCTAGACCTAGTTTCTACAGATAGTAGAGTTTGTTATAAATCAACCTAAACCATAATTTTAACAGATAGTATTTAGTTTGTAATAAATATATCCATAACATTTACTCGGTTCTTTCATAGATCATAGCCCATAGTTTCTACAAGGACTTAATATAATTTAACTTTTCTGTCGTAAATCAGAGATCCAAACAGATTGGGTAAATAAATTAAATACCAATACTGACAGCTCCAGTGAAATCTGTGTTATCTGTGGATCAACCGAACCCCGTATATCAACTATCAATCTCAATCCTAGGATCCGTAAATCCCTGCGAGCATTAAAACTGACTGATCCTCGTGGAACCCTACGACTTGAGTTACTAAATGATAACATCCTGGATCCTAACCTAATCTCAACCCTGTAATATAAAGCGTGTATCAACCCATCACATTAATTACTAATTTGTCTGAAATTGCTTTATCAACTTCCACTTTAGAAATACTGGCTCTTGGATCAATAGTCAACTACTTCCTAGCTATGAACCATGTGCATGCAAATAATCTGAAAAATGTTAAATCAATTCACAACGAATACAGTTTAAAGGGACTGTAAAGGAAAAATGAAAGGGGGTATAGGCTGAAAGTTAATCACTTTAGCTTGCGATCGCGACCCATGAAAGTTATCTGATGTTACTATCTCGAGAAATTGATTTACAACTTTGTCAAATTTATACGAAAATTAATATATATATAATTTTGTGTACAAGTAGTGGGTTTTAAAAGAAAAAATTCAGCAAATATGCAACCAATCTGAAAACAATGATATCCCAGAGAAAGCTAATTGTAACTAAGGTTTACTCCAATTCTAATTTTATATTTGTTATTTCTATTTTTTATAAATTTACTTCATAATATTATTTATACGTCCGTATTGCTTGACCAAAAATTCCACCAATGGCAGTACAGCAAAGTGGTTACGTGACACAGGTGGGACACGTGACCAGTATACTATTCTGCCATTGGGAGATAGTTCTGGTCACATGATTTAAGTTTAAGATCTTCTAAATTTTACATATATGAACTTTCGTATAATTTAAACACAGTTTTATATCAATTTCTCGAGACAGGAACATCAGATAAAACTTTCATGGGTCACGATCAAGAGCTAAAGTGATAAGCTTTCATGAGCCTATACCCCCTTTCATTTTTCCTTTACAGTCCCTTTAATACAAGACTTTATTTACCCCATTAAAACTTGCTTGAGATTAGTAGACCTTTCAGTTATATTAAACTAATAATTCGCTAAATTATAAAATTGCCCGACCGAAACTTTGATCCGAGACTACTAGAACATTAGATTGTTCTTTATGCGTCTTAACTTGATATAAAAAGCAAAAAAAAAATCTAAAGAAAAAGAAATGTCAACATTCTACCAGAAATAAAAAAAAACCTATGATATTATAGTTTAATAATAAAATCTACATATATTTAAGTGCGCACATGTCATAAAATTTGTGTGAATGGTCAGATCACAATTAGAAAACATAATTAAATAAGATTTGATCTAAAAAGAGCTCTCGGTGGTAATAAGTAGTAATGTTCGGGTAGCGAGTTCCTATAGGAATGTTCAGAGTTTAGCACAGAACGAGGACTAGAAAATGGAACACTGGTTATTTAGGACGGACGGGCAAAGAATTAGGAATGTAATTATCTTCTTGAAGGGAACAGTCGTATTCGATATCACAGTTATCCGACCTGAAACAAACATTTGAATCTTTCAATCAAATTTGAAATTAATTTAAAACAAAAAATCTTAAAACTGCCAAAGTAGAAGTGTGCGTTGGGGGTCCAATATAATGTAAATATTACCTATCAATGACGGACTTCTTGACTACACCAAACCAATCCAGCATTGAGTTTGGTATCATTGGTTCAGCCATCATTACCGCTAACTGAGCACCAGGCATCTTGGTCTAAATATAAGAATTAATTAAGAGTCTCGGTATAAATGAAATGGCAGTAAATTCTACCAGGAACTAAATGAGAACAATTACAAATATTTAGTAATTAACGGTTATTTTTTAGAAATAGGGAAATTGAAGAAATTTAATTCCCCCCCCCCCCCCTAGCCAATAATCCAACATTACTGAGGAAACAACAGTTGAGGGGGGGGGGGAAATCTAGAGAAAAAATCCATCTTGAAATACTTTCAGAACAACCAAAATCTCACCTGAACCATTTTTCCGGTTCTGCAAGCGATCATATGAGAACATTTCTGTTTACCCAGGAGAGCTCCGATCATGTAAACTACACCATCAAGGTAGCTTCTCTTCTCATCATCGGCGCTTCTCCGGACACGGTCCATTGCAGGCAGAAACCTGGATAATCAGATACCAATTACATATTCTCATCCGTACTTCATAAAAAAAATGAAATCTCTGGCTTTGTCAAATGCTAATTTAATGAGACACTTACCCGTTTAAGAAGCTGTGTAAAGCAGTTTCAAGAACAGTCTGAAATACAATTAAATTCCTAAAAAAACCTTTCGGCTTTTCGGCGTTAATTCTCGATCGTGCTACCTAAGTACAATAATGGATTGTCTCTATCTTTACTACTCTGGTAGAGGGTAACAAGTGTGGATAATAGTTATTAACTATAGTACCACGATCAAGACTTGTGACAAAGTCAAATTGTGGAGAATAGTTGTTAACTCTGGTACCACGATAAAGACTTGGGAAAAAGTCAAATTGTGGAGAATAGTTATTAACTCTGGTACCACGATAAAGACTTGGGACAAAGTCAAATTTCTTAAGGTACCATAGTTAGCAACAGTCGAACAACGGTATAATTGCTCAGCCAGAGCAATTGATAGAAATTTACGATCTATGTTTGTACCTATGGTAGCACGACTAAGAAACTGAGCTCAGTTATCTTAACCCTATTAAGGCTAGGAAGTCTAAATCAATGTATAGCATGGGGGCGGGCGTTTGTCACCCCCCCCCCCCCTAGAAAAAGGCCTTAGAGAATGCATGTTCATTGCCCCAATTTTGCATGGCCAGCTCGAAGAAAAAAAAATTAAAAATGATAAAATGATAAAATGGGTGCCAGGGTGGGAAAAAGCCTATTAAAGAATCAGAAATATGGAGAAAAATTTTTTTGTTTAAGACAAAGTGTGGCACATGTTTCTACTTGCATTTTTCAAGGGCTTTTTAAAACTATAGTTTAGATTTGTTGCTTTAGTAAAGTTATTTTAGATTCTTTCACAGACCTGACTTGTTTCCACCCTGTACCCTACGCCATAAATTAAAAAAAAATATATTTTTCACGGTGATAGTGTCAAATATGAGTGCTGGGACAAACAGATCTGAAACAGATATGAAAAAATGACCTTTATAGCTGCTTTCACCATTCGTAATCCCTCACTGTCATCCTTGGGTTTCCTCTCTCCTATCACCTCCTTTACATCCATTAAATTCCTGAAATATAAATTATTCATTGTAAAATTCGATAAAGAACCAAACCTCTGTAGACTAAAAAAGTAGAGGTTAGTTTTACTAAAAATACATTTCAGTCTGGGTTAGTTCTTAATCATTGGTGGTTAACAAAAAATTTCGAACATCGATGAAGAACCACCCCCTTCCCCAATCCGTGACCAAACTCCTCAAAAAAATTAAAGCTTTAAATCCTAGTTTAGTAATGCACTGAACTTACTTGTAAACAGAGAAAGCATCAGATTGATCTGACGCAACATCATTAGTTTTCAACTTGTCCTTCACAACTGAACAAAGAATTAAATAAAATAAGTTGAAGTTATTTAAACAGAGCTGAACACTTTAGAATGGTGGATATTGAGATTAATGCTTAATCTTCTCTTTTTCTTAATCTCCAGATTAAATATTGCTTGTTCTCCTTTTGTTATTAATCTCCAGATTAATTAACAGATCGGGATTAAGGATATTCCATTCTGAAGTGTTCAGCTCAGGAATAATTTTACACTTTTATATCTTGATATCCCCAATTACGAGGGGGGAGGGGGCCAAATATCTAAAGAAAGTACACCTGGATATACCTTAGTACTAGGGATGGGGATTGTACTTAGTATCCTAAAGGGGCTGTACCTTGAAGTGTAAGAGAAAGGGATGTACTTGAATATTCCAATTATAGAGTAGGGATGTAAGGTTGTACATTGTACAAGGTGTCCCACGAAACATGGCAAGACGAATTTAATGTCTTCTCCGAATTCTGAGTTTGTTTGAGACATTCAGTTGTCAACCTATTTTCAAACGTTTGATAATTGAAACAATAACACTAAATTTTCCTAGTCCCGACATTTCGAAAATGTTTCTGTACGATCAATATTAGTGAATTGATTTTTAAATGTTAATCAAAACTATGTCGAAATCTTAAAGAAATTCTTCATATTTAGAGTAATATTGAAAGCACAAAAAAGAAGGACAGACCACATTTTGAAAACATGCCAAGACTAGGGTTATTTTATAATTATTAACTATAGAATTTTACTTTGATTAGCCTTTCTACAGTCATGTTTCGTGAGACACCCTGTACCTAAAAACACAATTACAGAATGGTAGGTACCTAGATCACGGAAGGCATCAAGTATAGAGAGATGATTGTACCTGGATATCCCAAGTTAAAGAGAGAGGATTGTACCTGGATATCCCAAGTAAAGAGAGAGGATTGTACCTGGATATCCCAAGTTAAGAGAGAGGATTGTACCTGGATATCCCAAGTTAAGAGAGAGATTGTACCTGGATATCCCAAGTTAAGAGAGAAGAATGTACCTGGATATACCAAGTAAAAAGAGAGGAATGAAGCTGGATATCCCAAGTTAAGAGAGAGGAATGTACCTGGATATCCCAAGTTAAGAGAGAGGAATGTACCTGGATATCCCAAGTTAAGAGAGAGGAATGTACCTAGATATCCCAAGTTAAGAGAGAAGAATGTACCTGGATATCCCAAGTAAAAAGAGAGGAATGAAGCTGGATATCCCAATTAAAAAGAGAGGAATGTAGCCGGATATACCCAGCATAGAGAAAGGGGGTATACCTGGATATCCGAAGTAATAGAGATATCCCAAGTATAGAGAAGGGGATGTCCCTGGATATCCCAAGTAAATAGAAAGGGATGTCCCTGGATATCCCAAGTATAGAGAAAGGGATGTCCCTGGATATCCCAAGTATAGGAAAGGGATGTCCCTGGATATCCCAAGTATAGAGAAAGGGATGTAGCCGGATATACCCAGAATATAGAAAGGGGGTATACCTGGATATCCGAAGTAAGAAATATCCCAAGTAAAGAGAAAATGAGTGTACCTGGATAACCCAAGTATAGAGAAAGTGATGTCCCTGGATATCCCAAGTAAAAAGAGAGGAATGGATAAACCTGGATATCCGAAGTAAGAGATATCCAAGTATAGAGAAAATGAGTGTACCTGGATAACCCAAGTAAAGAGGAAGGTTAATGAACCTGAATATCCCAAGCATAGAGAAAGGAATGTACCTGGATATCTTGAATATACTTGGATATCTTAAGTATAGAGAAAATAAGGTTTCTTAATTCTATGAAGTATTGGATATACCGAGTAAATAGAAAGAGATGGAACTGGAATGAATGGATATATATCTCTTAGCTAACCGCCAAAAAAGTCTTTGGAAAAAAAGTTTCCGGAAAAAAGTCCAAAATTTCACTAAAAAAGTCCTTTTATTAAAAAGTCTCCGGAATTAAAGTAGGCAATTCGAGACTTTATTTTCTAGGACTTTTTTTCTGGCTTCAGTATGATTTTATACAAAAAAGTCCTCGGAAAAAAGTCCTCTAACAAGTGAAAATGCATGATTCACAATTCTAGGTTTTTCTTTTCCTCTGATTTTTTTTCTTCACGACTCTTTTAAACCTGGGATCTTATTTCCCGAGACTTTATTGGCAGCCCCCAGACTATTCTAGGAAAAAAAGTCCAAGGAATCCAAAACACGGGACTTTATTTCCAGTGACATTTTTTCCAAGGACTTTAAGTTTTTATTTCCAGTAACTTTTTTTCCCGGACTTTCTTACTTAGATTCATCTCCTAATGTATTGTGAGAGGATCGTGAGCAATCTTTAAATGTCGTCTTAAAAACCTAGATATTCTCTGGAAGCTGATGTATGGGGGGGGTCTGAGTGAAGATTCTAAAGAATACACGAGTATACCTGGATAACCATATCCTTGTATATCCTCTACTGACGCTATTCCAGCTAGGCAAACTCCGCTACCGCCAAGTAACAGGCTGATCAGCCTATACCTGAACATACAAACTGCAGGAGAATAATTTTTCGAGAATTCCCAGAAAGGAATATTGGGTCTGTCACCCCCCCGGGCCTGCCCCCTGCACTTATTAAAAAAACAAAAATTGTATGTACTAGGATATACTCGCAAATTTTTTAATTGAATCCTTGAGACAAGTATAATCAGTAAATTATTAACCACATGAACATGCATCCTCCCCCACCCTTAAAAAGAGGGTTACAGTTAAACAACACTTATAATATTCTAATATAAAATGTATATAAGATGTGGGAAAAGTCTGTAGCTCGAAAGTAACAATTAATAAAAACTAACTTACAAAAGCATTATCACAGTATTAACAATAATAACAACACAACATGCACTGATCCACCATTTGTTCAATTTACCAGGGATGATGAAAAAATATTTCGAATATTAATAAATAAATCATAGTTGCACCAGTTCCGCAGCAGGGGCCCTTTTTCAATATTAGGAATGTTGCAACATTCAGCTGGATTGAGAATAAATATTTACCGTTCGTGACCTATATATATTCTAAAATTGATGTAAATTTTCCGATTCAATTTCAACATGCATTTGAAAAATGCATCAATGTTAAATAAATATATAGACTAGGGTTTATAAAGACAATATGGTGTGTATATTCAACTTCCATTGGGCGGGGCACAGTGGGATATTATAGGGAGGGGGGAGGGGTCAGCTAAAACGAATTTATTCAATAAACCTCTTATTAATGTCAAATAAGGCTTTGCCGCTGAAGATCTTGTTTGAGAAAAGTCTGTAAGTTGTTTAAATGTTCTTTTTTAATTAAGAATTTCAACCGAAAACCCGCTATTTCAGTAAAATAGGATTGTTCAACACGCTACTCTGCAACTACATCTTTCTTTCACATATTTAGATTATTCCATAACCGCTGTGATTCTTAAACTTTGCTATAAAATAAAAATTTATACTTTTTTTCCAAAAAAGTTCTCTTTAACAAAGACGACATCTAAATAGGATCCATTCAAGAATAAATATATGAACGGGAAAAATAATTATAAATTGAAATCATCATATATTAATGCAAGCTTCAATTGAAACAATGTTTTTAAATGAAATGATTATCAGAAGATATTAATTTTGTCCATTCTCACCATGAAACACAAGACAAATGCATTTTAAGAGGAGTATTGTGACATAAACCAGTCACCCCTCCCTGACCCCCTAAAACACAGCTCACTGTGTGCCGTGGGGGGAGGGGATGCATGTGTCGAATGTTAGTGTACTTAACTCAAGTAATTTTTAATTTAATCATTTAACAATTTGGGCGGAGATTAATTTTTAACCAAGATTTCGGACTTTGGTAAATCTTCCAACTTTCAAGCCGTCTCAAGGGTTTCAACTAACCAGGCTTATGTTGCACGTCAAACTAAAATAAATGTTACGTTAAATTGAAATCTTGTTTTTAACCAAACTTCTCTGTTAGAATAGCTATATTGAGAAGAACAAAAATGTTTTAAAATGAAACCGAGCTGAAAACTTTAGAATGAAATATCCAGATATCCGATCGATTAGCTTCTCTGGAGTTTAAATTCATGTGGAGAACAAGCATTACTTAAACTGGATATTAAGAAAAAGAGTGGTTTAAGCCTTAATCCTGATATCCACCATTCTAAAGTTTTCAGCTCCGAAGTATCAG